ACACTACAGAAATAATCCAGTTTGAGACAGCTTTAACTGCCCTAGCTCCATGTTAGGGAATTCTGGGAATTGTAGATTCTTGTGGCACCTGAGCTCTCTGACAGCGAAGGCTACATGTCTCACAAAACTATAGCTCCCAGAATTCTCTAGCATGGAGCCAGGGCACTTAAAGCATTCTCAAACTGGATAATTTCTGCAGTGTGTTTTGGACCGTTATTGTCGGGTTCCTTTTAAGTCATTTCTGGATTATGGTGATTCTAAGGGGTTTTCTTGGCAAAATTTGTTCAGAAGGGGTTTGTCATTGCCTTCCCCTGAGGCTGAGAGAGTTTGACTTGCCCAAGGTCATCCAGTGGGTTTTCATGGCCAAGCAGGGATTCGAACTCTGGTCTCCAAAGTTGTAGTCCAACACTCAAACCACTACTCCATGCTGGCTCATTGTAGAAAAGACTATATATAGTCCTTGGTAAAGTGGAGGGCAATAGGAAAAAGAGGAAGAACACAATCCAGACGGATAGATTCAATCAGAGAAATCGCAGCCTTGAGTCTGCAAGAGCTGATCAAGGCGGCTGATAACAGAGTGATTTGGAGGATTCTCATTCATAGGGTCGCCATGGGGTGAAGTCGGTGTTTTATCAGTTTCATAAACCCGCTTCTCCAGCTGAGTTTACCTCTGGTGGGTTTCTTCCACCCATCCTCTCTTCTCCACTATTGCCTCCCCCATGCCTCTCCTCCTAGCCTTTCTGGAACCATGTGTGGGTATCCTTCTGTATGTGTCCATTGGGTGTAATATTCATATACATATTATGTTTTTAATCATAAACCTATTATTTTTTTAATAGTATCACAAAGAGCATCTGCATCAGAATTGATGAGCTGGGGATTACTCCAGAACTGGGACACAGCTGCTTTATAACCTCTAGCATGCCTAAGGAGCTCAGGAAACTTTGCTATCGTCTTCTCAATCTCCTCCATACAGGCAGTTAATTCCAAGGATTTCATCCTGTGCATTCCTCCCCTCCTTGACCAGCTCTAGCAGATTCAATCAACAATGTATACTGATGTTTTGTGTCTCCTTCCTTTTGTGCCACTGTTCACAGATGTGAACCTACAAGATTCTTTTATTTCAAGGATTTATATCCACCTTTCTCCTCCAATGGGATTCTGTTTCTTTGTCTTCCTAACAAAAATGCCTGGCAGAAATGTTCAGGTTCTACTGCAATTCTCTTGCAAGTCAAGAGGAATAATGGATTTTGCCCCAAAGACCTCAGCATTCTGGCAATATAACTGGTGGCTAGCTGTAAAAAGTTGTCCATGAAATTTCAAGCAACCAAGAAAACTGGTTAAAGTTTATGGAATGGAGTGGTTAAAGAATAATTCAAGCACAATCACTATTATTATTATGACTGTTTCTGCTACCACCACCATGATGAATATTGTATTAAATTTGTTATAAATATAATTACTTAAGATATGCAGATAACACCATACTACTAGCAGAAAATAGCAAAGGCTTGGAATGGTTACTGAAGAACGTAGAAGAAGAAAGTGCAACGACAGGGTTACGGTTGAATGTTAAGAAAATAACCACAGATGACTGACATAACTTTAAAGAAGAGATTGAAATAGTAAAAGTTTTCCCATACTTTGGCTCTGGCATTAAGCAGAATGCAGACTGCAGTCACGAAATGAGAAAACTAGGACTTGGAAGGGCAGCTGTAAGGAACTATACAGTGGGCCCTTAGTATCTGCTGGGGTTTGGTTCCAGGACCCCTCTCTGGATACCAAAATGAGTGGATGCTCTAGCCCCATTAGATACAATGGCATAGTAAAATGGTGTCCCTTATATCAAATAGCAAAATTAACGTTTGCTTTTTGGAATTTATATACGTTTTGGTATTTTCAAGCCATTGATAATTGGATACAGAAACTATACAAGATTCTGAAGTGTAAAGATATACACTCATCCGTCCACATTTGTGGCCTTGACTTTTGCGGATTTTGTTATTCACGGATTTGATTAATATGTTATCGCTAGGAATCTCTAGGTCCTCCAATACAACTCTGTAGTCAACTTTAATCAAATGTTGCTCTGAAGGATCTAGAGCAGGGATCCCCAAACTATGGCCTGTGGGCCAGACCTGGCCCATCGAGGCCTTCCTACCGGCCCGCATGCACATTACTCGGGCGCCATTTTGTGTTCCAAAATGGCGCCTGGAGTTGTGCACATGCACACGACTCCAGACGCCATTTTGGAACACAAAATGGCATCCAGAGTCGCGCGTATGAGTGTTCGCATGCACGCATGCCTCCAGCCCCCCAGAAGATCTGTGGGCTAGCGAACTGGCCCCCGGATCAAAAAATCTGGGGACCCCTGATCTAAAGATTCCTAGAGAGAACGCTCTGCTAGGTATTTGTAGCTCCTCCAGCGCAATTCTATGGTCAATGTCTGGCAGATGTTGACCACAGAGTTGCACTGGAAGACCTACAGATTCCTAGAGAGGTATTCGCTTGGGTAAAAGCACTGTGTTTGTTATTTGTGTTTTTTCCATATTGACGGGGGTCCTGTGCCCTTAACCCTAGTGAATGTGGAGGGATCACTGTATTGCTAAATACTAAAGCTAGGATTATCTAGTTTCTACGTATGGTTGCGAAAGCTGGATAGCGAAGAACACTGATAGGAAGAACATCAACTCATTTGAAATGTGGTGCTGGAGGAGAGTTCTACAGATACCACGGACTGCTGAAAGGGTGACCTGAAGGTCTTTATGGAGAACCATTCATAGGGTCTCCATAAGTTGAGGTCCATTTGATGGCAGTTAACAACAAATTCCATACTCAGTGGAACGCTAGTGAGTTGGTACAATTGTTATATGTTCCCTTGGCATGACTGGAATTCTGTGCTGCTGTGCCTCCTACTGGCTGAAGAAAGAGCTGAGAAAGGACATTCGGAGGCTATTACTCTGGAACTAGTAAAATATCAGTTTTCTGGCATTGTTTTTGGTAATGGAGAGTCAGTGAAGTCATCAAAATGTAAGGGAATGGAGCTATGTGTCACCATCCTTTGTGTGTTACTGCACTTACACTAGAAGGGAACAATTCAGTGGTTTGCTTCTGCCACAACATGTTATGTCACAGGGAGTTGATTCACTGTTAAATATGAATGCTTAGTCTCCAAGATTTTCTTGCAAAGTTGCAATTCCCAGTTGGGTCCCTGGCAATTTTCTGCAGGGTGTGTCAAGCAGATAAAGTATGGTGACTCCTTCTGCTAGATCAGAATTTTAGTAAAGTTGAGACACTTTCAAATCCTGTATATTCAAAGCTCATTGTGTACTGGTTTAAGTGTTGGACTAAGACACTGGGAGACTAGTGTATGAATCTCTACTCATAGAGACCCTCTGGGTTATTTGGGCAAGTCACAACCTGTAAGTTTAAGAGGATGGCTTACACCAGGAGTTGGAGAGGGGAGTGGATCCTTGTTGGTCCCCCTGCATCTTTCAGTGACATCTGATACCATTCACTATGGTATCCTTCTGGGTTGTTTGGCTGGACTTGAGAGCATTGCTTTGCATTGGTTCCATTCTTTCTTAGTTGGTGCTTTCAGCCTTTCTTCCATTAGCTTATGGGCTTCCACAGGGGTCAGTACTGTCCCCTGTGATTTTTAACATCTATATGAACCCACTGGGAGAGGTCATCTGAAGCTTTGGAGTTGTGTATGTATCATCAGTATGCTGTTGCTATCCAAATGTATTTCTCTTTTACAACTGATGCTAAGAGGCTGTGGTAGTTCTGAATTGTTGCCTGGATGCAGTAAAGGATAGGATGCAGGTGAACAGACTATGGGGGGATGCAGACCAGCACTTTAGGCTGGCCTGGGGGTGGAGTTGGAGTGGGGTGACTGCATGGCGGCCACCCCAGCTCCGCCCTGATGCCGCACGCCTGACCGCACGACACATGGCATCAGGGCGCCTTCTTGGCCCAGCGTACAGACATGCTACACCAAAGGGGCGCAAAAGAGCCACAGTGGCTCTTTTGGGGTTGGCAAAAAGGAGGATCGGGGCTGCAGCGTGTACTTGCCATGGCCCCGATCTGCCACTCCCAGGGGCAGCACAGAGCCACCCCTTACAGGCCATCTGCATTGGC